GCACATTCATTCATTCATTCATTCATTCAATGAACTCGTTCGCTGAAATCTCAATCATCCATTCATTCTGGAAATCTAAAGAAGATCTACATTGACTTTGACCTTTTCATAGATCAAATATATTTGCAACAGAATGGGAAAGACTTCTATAATAATAGCATGATAAGAAATCATATTGTGACGTCATTAACTAATATTTTACAACCAATTATTGATTGCTCGGAATTTTGCTGCTCTGCTATCACCTCAACTTTTGCCTTACTTTCTACAATAACTCAAAAATCGCAATATATTACTTTACCGTACCTTTGGAAACAGTGCACATGTGGATGGTAGATCACAGTCGTAAGTGGAAATGCGATAAAGTATAAAATGACAACAGCATCGAAAACATATAGCAGTATTGTACCCGTCTCATCGAGAGCATCCTAAAATTTTATCTATAGCATTACGACATCCCATAAAGCAACCCATAAAAGACCGAAACGAAGGCTATGAAATTTAAAATGAGCTAATATTTGACATTAAACTAACCTGTATAGCGACCATATAGAATATGATGCCACAATTAATAAATGAACAAATTCCATAACATACTAAAAACACAAACGCATACATTCTACACAAATTTAAAATAAAAACGTGCATGATGACTTACAGAACGTGCGATACATCGATTGACTAATGGTTTTTCGAATGTGAGCCGCCAAATCGTGCTTCATTTTCACTATCTGCAAGATAATCATAGAAATTAACTTTGAGATGCATTTGAACATTGAAGCTTTTCAAGTTGTGATAAATTAGCTTGTGTGTCTGATAAAAAAAATAGGGTACCTACAATTTGCTTTAAATCAACATTTATGCGATTATCTGCAGCGTTTACAACTAACTACACTCTATCTGGAATTTATCTCTCCCTTGGCTTTGTGTTAAGGCCGTTTTTTATTGGAAAAAAACCAAGAGCCTCAAAATAGTGCAGTAATGTTATATGAATGTCATATCGGACTAAATGATGACGGTAATAACAGCGTTGTGAAAGATGTCACAGCTTTTTGTCAATAAAAATTTTGACAAATAACCTTTTTTTATCAAAAGTTCACTGATTTGTGATGTTCACGATGTATGGTAACCCTATCCTACCCACAAATTAATGCGTTTACGCGCAAGATAAATGTAGTTTTTATGATCAGCTGAGTTCAAGGTACAAATTTTTTGGAAGAAAAATGGAAAGATTTACCTGATTCAAAGGATTGTATTCCTGCTTGCATACTGTCCAATTTTCTGATATTGTAAGGGCA